ATACAGTAGATTAGTTTGGTGAACCCATTTGTAAGTTACAATCAGTTCCCTGATAGATTCATATAACAGGTGTGAGGCCAAGCTGAAAATCAACCATATTTTAGGATATTCGTTATTGCTGCCGGTTTTGGTCATTCAAGTACATCAGCTGTTTTCTGTAGGTTAAGTGAAGACACGTATAGCAGGGTAAGATAGTTTAACTTTCATATCAATAGGTATATCAATGAGTGAATAGTATGGACTAATACAGGAATTAGGAAGAAAATTGCTTGATGGCCAAATCTTGCTTCGTAAAATGGTTCTATTTCTTATCCTTTTACTTTACTTTAATGTCTGTATAACTTTAGTTACAAAAAATATACAATGCCAAAGTGAAATGGTATGACACTTTCATCATCATCTAGTATTACCAAAACTCAAATATTTTATAATAATGGTCATTTATCTTTGTTTTAAAAAAGTATTTAGCAATTAACTATTATGGAAGAAAATCATTACATTCAGTTTTATTCATTAGTAAACCTGCTAAAGATATATCTTCATATATTTTGGTTATAATTCTGAGGACTAAATTATTTCCCAAGCATGATTGTATTCATACTAAGTGAATGATATACTGATGTGTGTTGGTGTGTATACAAATGTGTGTGTTTGTGTATGTATACATGTATATATCCATACAATAGGAGAGAGATACAATATATAGAGATATTTATCTGTGTGTTTACTGAAATAGAACTGTATTTTTTCCTCAGTGTTGGTGGCAGCGTTGGCCACAGGTCAACAGTTCCAGCAGACTGACATTTTCGACATTGCTGTAAAACTTGCTGAACCTGGTTTCTTCAGTTCTGGCTTGACTGGCAAAGGTGGCCAGTTCCAAGTCAGTAGCCAAATCCAGAACACTGGCTCTGGAGCCCAGTTTGGTTCTCTAAATTCAGGCAACAATGGATTCCAGGCTGGTTTGCAGAGTGGATTTGGTGCTAAATCAGGCAACAATGGATTCCAGGCTGGTTTGCAGAGTGGATTTGGTGTAAGCGGCAGTGGATTTCAATTTGGGTCTGCTGGCAGCAAATTTGGGTCTAGTTCAACTGGTTCTGGATTCCAGTCTGGTACAGGCAGCAGTGGATTCCAAATTGGAACAAGTGGCAGTGGATTCCAATCTGGTACAGGCAACAGTGGATTCCAGTCTGGTTTAACAAGTGGCAGTAAATTCCAGTCTGGTTTAACAAGTGGCAGTAAATTCCAGTCTGGCTCTGGAGTTCAATCAGGATTATCAAGCAATACTGGATCTCAAACTGGCTCATCCTTCGGTTCAGCAGCTGGCTCTCAGTTCCAGACTGGTACAAGCAGCAGTGGATTCCAGTCTGGTTTAACAAGTGGCAGTAAATTCCAATCTGGCTCAACTGGCTCTGGAATTCAGTCAGGTTTATCAGGCAACACTGGATCTCAGACTGGCTCATCTTTCGGTTCAGCAGCTGGCTCTCAGTTCCAGACTGGTACAAGCAGCAGTGGATTCCAGTCTGGTTTAACAAGTGGCAGTAAATTCCAGTCTGGATCAACTGGCTCTGGAGCTCCGTCAGGTCTATCAGGCAACACCGGATCTCAGACTGGCTCATCCTTTGGTTCAGTAACTGGTTCACAATTCCAGTCTAGTACAAGCAGCAGTGGATTCCAGTCTGGCTCAACTAGCTCTGGAATTCAGTCAGGTTTATTAAGTAACACTGGATCTCAAACTGGCTCATCCTTTGGTTCAGCAACTGGCTCTCAATTCCAGTCGGGTGCAAGAGGCAGTGGCAGTGGCAGTAAATTCCAGTCTGGCTCCTCAACTGGCTCTGGAGTTCAGTCTGGTTTATCAGGTAATACTGGATCACAAACTGGTTCATCCTTTGGTTCAGCAACTGGGTCTCAATTCCAGTCAGGTGTAAGCAGCAGTGGATTCCAGTCTGGGTTAAGTGGCAGTAAATTCCAGTCTGGCTCCTCAACTGGCTCTGTTCAGTCAGGTTTATCAGGCAACACTGGATCACAAACTGGTTCATCCTTCGGTTCAGCAACTGGCTCTCAATTCCAGACTGGTACAAGCAGTAGTGGATTCCAATCTGGTTTAACAAGTGGCAGTAAATTCCAGTCTGGCTCAACTGGTTCTGGAGTTCAGTCAGGTTTATCAGGCAACACCGGATCTCAGACTGGCTCATCCTTTGGTTCAGTAACTGGTTCACAATTCCAGTCTAGTACAAGCAGCAGTGGATTCCAGTCTGGCTCAACTGGCTCTGGAATTCAGTCAGGTTTATCAAGCAACACCGGATCTCAAACTGGTTCATCCTTCGGTTCAGGAACTGGCTCTAGATTCCAGTCAGGTACAATCAGTAGTGGATTCCAATCAGGTTTAACAAGTGGCAGTAAATTCCAGTCTGGCTCCTCAACTGGCTCTGGAGTTCAGTCTGGTTTATTAAGTAACACTGGATCTCAGACTGGCTCCTCTTCTGGTTCAGGAACTGGTTCTAGATTCCAGTCTGGAACAAGCAGTGGTCGTTTCCAGTCTGGTTTAACAAGTGGCAATAAATTCCAATCTGGCTCAACTGGCTCTGGAATTCAGTCAGGTTTATCAGGCAATACTGGATCTCAGACTGGCTCATCCATTGGTTCTGCAACTGGATCTCGGTTCCAGTCTGGTACAAGCAGCAGTGGATTCCAGTCTGGTTTAACAAGTGGCAGTAAATTCCAGTCTGGCTCAACTGGCTCTGGAATTCAGTCAGGTTTATCAGGCAATGCTGGATCTCAGACTGGCTCATCCTTTGGTTCTGCAACTGGCTCTCAGTTCCAGTCTGGTACAAGCAGCAGTGGATTCCAGTCTGGTTTGTCATCTAGTGGCTCAGCAACCGGTACTGGAATCCAAGGAGTTTCAGGTGCAGGTGCAAGCAGGTTCCAGTCTGGAACAGCAGCTGGCAGTGGGATTCAAGCTGGTTTAATAAGTGGAAGCAGATTCTCAACTGGTTCAACACGTGGTAGTGGACAGTCATCTACATCATCAGTTAATACTGGATTTACAAGCGGTTCATCTCTTGCTACTGGTTTCCAGGCTGGTTCAGGAAGTAGCAGTGCTTCATCAGGACTTGGTGGAATCCAATCTGGTACTCGAGTACAGTCTGGCTCATCAGCTAGTGCTGGATTCCAGTCTGGTTCATCAGCTAGTGCTGGATTCCAGTCTGGTTCATCAGCTAGTGCTGGATTCCAGTCTGGTTCATCAGCTAGTGCTGGATTCCAGTTTGGCTCAACTGGCACTGGATCTCAGTCTGGTTCAGGTGCAAACAGATTCCAGTCTGGAGCAGCAACTGGCAATGGAATTCAAGCTGGAAGTGGAAGCAGATTCTCAACTGGTTCATCACGTGCTACTGGTTTCCAGTCTGGTTCAGGAAGTAGCAGTGGATCTGGTGCTTCATCTGGTTCAAGAGGTACTGGATTCCAGTCTGGTTCAAGAGGTACTGGATTCCAGTCTGGTTCAAGAGGTACTGGATTCCAGTCTGGTTCAAGAGGTACAGGATTCCAGTCTGTATCATCAACTGGCACAGGACCTCAGTCTGGTTCAAAAACCATCAGTGGAATCCAAGGAGTTTCAGCAGGTGCAAGCAGATTCCAGTCTGCAGCAGCTGGCAGTAGAATTCAGGCTGGCTTGACAGGTGGAAGCAGATTTTCAAGTGGATCAGCACGTGGTAGTGGACAGTCATCTGGATCATCAGGCAGCATTGGAATCTCAAGTGGTTCAGCAAGAGGCAGTGGATTTGGGGCTAATTCTGTGGGCAGTAGATTCACTGGTACCCAGCCTGGTTCATCACGTCCCACAGGCTTCCAGTCTGGCTCAGGATCTAGTACTTTGTCAGGACTTGGTGGATTCCAGTCTGGTTCAAATGGTGCTGGATCACAGACTGGTTCAGGAAGAATTCAAGGTGGTTTAGCAGGTTCAAGCAGATTCCAGTCTGGAGCAGCAGCTGGCAGTGGCATTCAGGCTGGTTTGACAAGCGGAAGCAGATTCTCAACTGGTTCAGCACGTGGTAGTGGACAGTCATCTGGATTATCCGGCAGTATTGGATCTTCAACTGGTGCAGCAAGAGGCAGTGGATTTGGGGCTAGTTCAGTGGGTAGTGGATTCACTGGATCCCAGTCTGGTTCATCACGTGCCTCTGGCTTCCAACCTGGCTCTGGCAGTGGATTCGGTGTTTCATCAGGACTTGGTGGATTCCAGTCTGGTTTAGATGGTGCTGGATTTGGAGCAGCAGGTGGCAGTGCACTTCAGTTTGGTTCAGACTCAGCTGATGCATTTGGTATCTTTGAGCCTCTGAATCTTCCTGCAGAAGCCACTCGCTTGCTTGGAAAGATCTCAACATCATTTACCTGCCTTGAGCGGCCTTATGGATATTATGCTGATGAAGAAAACTCCTGTCACATCTTCCACATCTGTTATCCTGCTCTCTTTGCTAATGGTGTTATCGAGACCTCCCAATACAGGTAAGACAACTTACTATTTGTATTATAGATGATAGAGTAGTATCATTATATTTTCATCACCATTATGTATTATAGACAAGAAAGTATCGTCATATGTTTTCATCATTTTGCATTATAGACAAAAAATTATAATATCATATTTTATACCACTATTAATAATCTTGTCACCCCTCATTGCAATAACATTCTGTATTATACAGCTATACAATTTGTATGTGTTACAGTTTCCTGTGTGGTGAGGGTTCTCGATTCGACCAAAAGGAACTTACTTGTGTGGCAGAATCAGAAGCTATTCCTTGCCAGGAATCTTCCAACTTCTTTTTCAAGAACGAACAGTTTGGTCTTCCAAAGGAGAAGATTTAAGCCATTTCAGCCCACTTCGAGGACTCGATGTATCGCCTTATGAACAATTCATGCGAACATTTTTTGATAAATAAAATGAGCAAGAAAACGTAAAAAAAATATATAATCCTTATCCTTCATATTAATCCCAATCCAAA